CGTGTCTACACAAATGGAGGTCAATTAATTTGGAACGGAGGGAGTACATGGCATCATGCATTATCGCAGTACGAGTGTGTTGTCTGGCACTCACGTACCGCGCATGAACACAACCGGCCGGCATGGCAGCGGCATGTGTGCGCGCTCTCTGAGTTTTCGGGTTGTTGCTGCTGGAGCAAGGCCGACACGATACCTCCTGCCGTTGTGTGAAACCGTTGGCTGGCCTAGGGCGAACTCCATGGACAAGTTGCCATGGAAGTTTCCACGTCTGTCTCCGAAGCCAGCACAATGCCCGCCGTTCCCACCGTCGCCCTTGTGCACCGCACCGGTGGCACGCCCCCGGATTTCTCCCGTACCGGCGTTGAGATTCCTCCGTTCACGCGGGAACAGCTCGGCGGTGGCAGCTTCGGCACGGCGCAGAGGGTCCCCCTTCCACCGGCCACCTAACGCTCGCTCCTCGATCATTGGCTTGTCACGGACACGGTGGCGGTGGGTGATAAGCGAGTGGGGCCATGGAGTTCGTGCATTATAGTTCACCTACAAGATCTGAACTGATCAGATGGACCATGATAGGGAGCCCCCCTGTTCCTGTTTGTTTCTTCTATGGGCGCTGATCATGACCAGTGCCCAGTGGTACGTTCTGGTGCCGATGCCAACCCCATGTGCTCTTGTCCATCGATCGTGCGGCGGTCCGAAGCCTGGCTGCCTCGCCCTGGTTCGTGAGGGGTCGTTACTCGTCAGGTTGCCCACCTGCGACGCTCGTGGCCGGAGACGGAGACCGTGGCGATAGCGGCCGGCCTCGGCGATGCGCCATGCCATGCCGCCGGGATAAGGATGAAGTTCATCGGGTCAGTGCCGTGCACGCTGGCCCCTGCCGCGACCGCGATCGATCCCAGGGATCAGCTCAAGTGCGTACACCGCTGCATTATTCCGGGGCACCTCACCCACGAGTTGGAGCGATGCGACGACCTGACCCCGACACGGTTCCGCAAGAGAAACCAGAGTTCCCAACCACAAACACCGGAGAGGACGCTCTATCTGTGTTGCATGAGTCCGAAAACATCTGTCCCAATCAACAGCAAATACGTACTGTGCAGCGACTAGACTGACTAGACACGCGGAATTTATCAGGTTATTACGATCAGTACTACGTAATAGAGTAGTGGGGTGTCCCTCTTTTGCAGTGCAGGTATAGCCATGGGTCCTTAGAGCATCTCCAATAACATGTGTATATTTGGATGTCTATATATTTATATAGACAATGGTCTAAAAAGATTCCCTCATATACACATCTAGTTTTGCATCAGAACGTCTATATACAGGGACCATGACAGGTGGGCCGTTGCTAGGGAGAGGAAGAGATCATGACTACAGCTGAGTTTAGACCACGCCTTCACATTGTCCAGGCGTGAACATTGTCGAGGTTGATTTAGAGGATGTGTATATTTGGACGACCATATAGACAAGCTGTTGGACGCCTGTTTTGGGCTAACGTCGTGGAAAACGAGTATAGGCATCCATATAGACAAGCTATTGAAGATGCTCTATCCGTATTCATGAAACCTCATCTCACATAATTGGCGCAAAATTTTACTATTACCGATTTTGCATTACAGGAAAAACAATTGCCACTTATTGCCTGGTGCATCCACACATGAGTGAGACGAGATGATGGGCTGAGAAACAGGTTCAGTGGTCGAGTGGCGTTGCCGACGAACATGAGTGTAGCGCTTTGCTATCTTGTTTTAGCCTGTGTGGAAGTGACATGTGGCCATGTGACGTTACTCGTCATTCGTCGTCGATCGTTGGTAACGATTGGTTATCTTTTATCCATGATGGAAAGGGTCCGAATTCGAACTCTTCAGTCTAAAATGTTGGTTATCAACTCAGTCTTATAAACTCACAAATTTGTCCGTACTACATGACACTTGGGTGTTTAGAATACGAGTCGTTTCGCCACCCAGGCAGGAGGTGTCATTGCATGTGACCCAATCAAATACTGAAATGTGCACAGCTTGAGTAGCTTCAATAAAAGAGTGGCGTCCTTCCTCTCATAATTTAACAAGCAGCTCACCCGCCAATTTCTGAAAAAGAAGAGGTGTAGCAAACTCATTAGCAACGAAAGTCGATACCCAAATCATCTCATTTTATTTTGCATTCTCTTCTCCTAATTTCAGGGGTGTTTAAAAATGTGCGGCCAGTGTGGCATGACGATGGCCGAAGCTCCTGACAATGTGGTATGCACGCACGCTGTCAGGTCACACGGTAGGGTTGCTTGCGCGTCTCCGTCTTGCCAAGAAGCATATAAGGAGCACATCATATTCTGTCGTTTCAACGATAAGTTTATGATGTAGATAAACTTCAGCTGAAAAGGACATGAAATAAAAGTGATCCTAAACTGGATACTCGTGTGCTTGACGAGTAAGATGCAAATTCGAATAACACCGTTTGATGTGAAACTTCGTAGTCCATGGTTGAATGATGCAGTGAAACCAGTCCGCTCGGACCGTGTGAAATCAACGTTCTGCCATCAGCCATGCACAAAAATAAGGTAGCAACTATTAGCAAGTGGAGTTGAAGAAGACAATAACAAATTGTTAACCTGAACTCGTGTCCAAGAGCAAGTTGTTGACTGTGGGCTTTCATTTTGGATAGTGTAGTGAGGATCGGGCGTATGGATGGACATTTCAATGATAATGATGTAACCTTATCGATGTCGAGCTATCAACTGACCCCTCGCCAATCATCTGAGTAACGGCGGTACATATAGTTTGCCAGCCGAGGAGGTGCGTGGAGATACAACCCATGTCACAAAGAAGTTTCGAGATGAAACTGCATGGAGCATATGCCATGGTCAGATAGAAATCTACCATATAATTGACTCCTATAAAATGTGACAATATTGACATACACAATGAAAATGAGTCATCTTCCAATAGATGTGATTCGAGGCGGGCTCCTTTCTTACAATTCGAAGCAAAGCAATGCAATGCATGTATTAGACCATTCTCCTTATACGTCGTCATCGACATGCCACGCTCTCCTCCAATCACACTTCTTCATCCCACTACTCTCTAATAGATTCAAGACACTGCAGGGCTCCAACGTCAACCCCGCTACCCCCACCGCACTGCAGATGTTTTTGGGATCTTGGCATGGCGACCGATGCATGGTCAGTTGGGCATGTCTTCTAGGCTGAAAAATCTCAGTCGCTTAGGAGTGTTTGATTTTCACAAGTTTACAGTATTGCGTCTTCGATGGCCTTGGTATGAGTGAAAAAAGGCGGACTGGGTACGGGTGGGATTAGGCAAACTTGTGATGAGATGGACATGAATCTTTTCTACGCCACCACCACAATTTTGTACTACCTCCCATGGCTATAAGGGGAAAAGCTTAACGCAAAGTTCCTTGCTAGCTCGGCCTCCACGGTCTCTCTTATCTTCACCGTTCTTTTACTTCAAGATTTGTGCAGGAAAGCTGCATCACGAGCGCACAGCTGTTCGCTGCAGGGTCATTAGCAGATGATATCCAGTCTTGTCCTGTCCGCACTACAGTGTCATCAGCAGATGCTGTCCAGCCTTGTCTTGTCCGTGAGCTGAAACGTCCCTGTAGCAGCAGGCTTTCTTGCTATGAGATAAACTTATACTAGTTGATTTGCTGTCCAGCATCAAGCTCCCATACAAGTTGCAACTATTATAATATCACATTGTATAGGAGAAAAGCCACATTTCTTCATATTTTTTACGAGAAGTTGGACTAGGTTATCATCTGAATATTTTGTTGCAAATTGCAATGAGAAAAAACGACTCATGTTGACAATCAAATGTCTACCTACGAACATCACCTCCTGTACTGAATTTATATGCTCTAGAAATTATAAAATTCCCACAATTTATTGTGGCAAAATACGGTGCACTAACAACTCTCTCTCTACATATCTCTCGCGGAGGGAGGATGCAAGCGATAATAGGCGGCAGTAGTTTTGAGACCATGATTTATTTCCAGATAACGATGTGCCTACTCATGTGTTCCTCTCGCCAAAATCAGTAAGGTTCACAGAAGATCCTGCTGAAACATTCTTAGGCTCAACCATGTGCGTCTGCAGGGAGCTGCATGTGAATAGTGAACACTGTACAGCTTTATTGGCCATCGGTCTATTGTTGCGTGATGGAATCCACGAGTCGCCAGAATGGACGAAAGCATGCAGGGCTAGTCTGACTGATCCATCATGTCATGTACAGTACCCGCTGCCTCGCTTCTATTAAGCGCTGAGCGCCTGGCGCAGCTGCTAAACTCCCGTTCGTGGGCACACATCTTCATGCATCGAAGCCCATATTGAACGTCTACGATAGTGGGTACCGCGTAGCTCGGGCTAGAAAAAACCGAATTACAGACGAGCTTCAAAATCATGCTTGGATTGGGAGGATTGACATGAAAATGAATTTTTGATCACGCACATTCAACAGTTTTACAAGCTTTGGACAATGCATGCCCAGGTTCAACTTCAAGATGACACGGTGGATGATTTTTTTTGCAACTTCACTGCCCTTGAGGGGTCTATTAAGTGACTTCGTCTTACACGACATTGTTCGTTGGTGCCTCTTCCGTCAGGACATGGCAGGCCATTTGGAACCATTGGACGCCATCCAAATGCCAAATTTTCACATGGTTTGTCTATATTTGGTCAATGGATCGTCCAAAAAAAAATGGGATGACCAAGCTGTAGGAAATGCCAACTTTATAGGAGGCAACTGGAGTCCACACATAGAATTTGTCCAAATATAGGTCCGCAATCAGAATTTGCGGTGTCATCAAGAGCTGGATTAGTCTTCCGAAGTTTTAGGCAGCTACTTAGGTGGGTTGCCCTAGGTTGACGCTTGGCCGACGACCATGATTCTTAGGAGAGGGCATAGGTGGAAGGATATGGCATTGTTCGTTATGCTACGCTGCGTTGCATCCTGGACACCAAGACGGCCACACGCATTAACACGGAGGGCATCATGGAGCACCCCTGGTTCTTCCACGGTGTGAGCGACGGAGGCGAGCAGGAGCAACTGATGCGCGGCCACAAGGAGGCGGCGTGGTTCAATACGGAGTTCGAGGAGGACATGGCACGGGCCATGACCGCGTTCGACATCATGGCATTCTCGCCCGGGTCGGACCTCTCTGGGATGTTCGGCGCCGGGCCGGGCACGGAGCGGGTGTTCGTGGGCGAGCCCGCCACTATCATGCTGGCCCGGGTCGAGGAAGTCGGGAAGAAGCGAGGGCACCGCGTGAGGAGGGAAGGCTACCACGCCGGGCCGGTGTACGTGGAGGCGGTGGCCGGCGGCATTGTTGCCAAGGTGACTGTGTTTAGGATCGTTGATGCAATGTCAGTGGTCGAGGTCGTGAAGGGCCACGACACGGAGGCTGCGGCGTTCTGGAAGGACTGGCTCGAGCCGGTCGTGAAGCCTCGGATAGTGTGAAAACCTACTGAGTGCAAGCCGGGTATCATCTCGCCTCGTCGTGCTGCCGCCACGGGACGTGCATCAAGATTTTTTATGGGGGTAAAAAGAGTTTTATTTCAAGATGATAGAGTTACATTTGAGAGGCAAGAAAATTTCCAACACACGGGGACCCTCTATATAGCCGGACAGCTGTTGTTTTTCTTCGGATTTCTTTTCTTCGGGTTGTGTTAAAGTGCCATGCAACACTACTACAATATGGCGAGAGGGAAGAATTCTTGCCGACTCCCGCGATAACGGCCGGGTAGGACAGAATCGGCAGGGGGCCGCTGTTTTGACCCTTTCCTTAAAATTAAGCTAGATATGACTGTCGGATTTCGGGTTCCGGCAGACCCTCGAGATTCGAACTCTGGGGTACGCGCGAAGATCACACCTCCTACCTACTCACGTCTCGTCGCCTCGCAAGGATCTAAACTACACGAAGAACAAAACAAGGGACACGAGGTTTATACTAGTTCGGGCCACCATTCTGGTGTAATACCCTACTCTAGTTTGTGGTGTGGTGGATTGCCTCAGGGGCTAATGATGAACAATACAAGGAGAGAACCGCCTCGCGAGGGGAGGGGTTCTTGTGTTAGTGGTTCTGGCTAAGGTTCAATTGGTCGACCTTCGGATCCCCCCTATACTATGGTGGCTAGTCCTATTTATAGAGCGAGGCCTTGGTCTTCTTCCCAAATATTGAGTGGGAAGGGCGCCAACAATTGGCCATTTTGAAGGGGGACATCTAGTACACTTATCCTGGCTAAAGTCGGTCCTCGCCTGCCAAAGACTCTGACGATGACGCCGGCTTGGGCTCCACGATGAACTCCATCCTGCCGTTCTGCTGGTCTTGGTCTTGTTGCACCGAAATGGTTGCCTTTGCTTGATGCTCTCGCCCGCGCTTGCTCCCTTTGCACCAAAGAGGAAACAAGGACTCTTCGCAGGCCGGCGCCCGCCTGGCGCCTTCCTGGCTTCGGTGGTCATGGCTTGTGTCACGGGCACCTCGTGAGGTACCCTGCCTTGATCTTTTCGCCTCCTCACGAGCCAGCCTGACGAGGTTGTGCCTGAGGAAGCTTCTTGTTGTCCGCCCCGCAAGGCTTGGCCCCTCGCGAGGGTCCTGAGCATATGTTGATGAAGATGGGCCGTACTGGGCCACTCCTTGAGCCATGCCGCAGGCCGCAGGCAAGCAAGTCTGGGTACCCCCGTTCCCAGAACGCCGACAGTAGCCCCCGGGCCCAAGGCGCGCCCGGACTTGGCTTAGCAGAGAAGCGAAGGGGCAAGAGCGAAGCGCCGCGGGCCCCAATAGCCTGCGGCCTTGTGCGACGCGTGGCGGTTGATTGGACGTGGGCGTCCCTGCTTCCCCACGACGCCTCGGCAACCACACGAATCGACAAAAGGGTGGCACCGTGCCAGGCTTACCTTCTCTGCTTCCTCCAGTCGTTGCCCAGATCCCCTTTCTCGCTCTCCTCCTTCTTGCTCCCGAAATCCTTCAGATCTGCCTCAAACCCGCACCTTAGCAAGCCATGGCGCCTCGCCAGACTCCGGTCCGGGCCTGGTACTCGCCTGCGCTAGTTTCTCCGAACGTGTCAGAGAAGAACCTTGCCCTCACGCGCCTGATGATGGCGGCGCAAGGCAACGACGGGGCGGCCGCGCTCAAGGTTGGCTCTGCCCTTCCTGAGAAGAAAGGAAGCACCTTCTACCCGCTCTTCGTGAGCGCCATCGCCGTCGGTCTGATGCCTCCCTTTTCTGAGTTCTTTCTTTCTGTTCTCCGCCACTACAACCTGCAAGCTCTGCACCTCCATCCCAACTCTGTTCTTATTCTGGCAATTTTCGCCTATTAGTGTGAGGCTCATGTCGGGGTGAGGCCCTCTGTGCCTTGCTGCGCCACTACTTTTACCTCCGGGTTTCTCGCGGCTCCATCACCGCGTGCGCGAGCTTTGTCGCGTACTCCAGCTCCAATGCCATCTTGAAGCCTAGGAAGAGGATGGATTCATGGGCTTCAGCTTTGTCGCGTACTCCAGCTCCATGGCCAGATCTTCGTCCGCCATGGTCTGGCCACGGTCCTCCATGCCTTGGTTGGGGGAGACGTGGAGAGGTTGGAGGGTGCTCCCGTACCCCTGTTCCTTCGGGATGATTGGGAGCAGGTGCTGAACTCCATGCCTGCTTTCAACGTGGACGGGCCTGTGCCCGCGCAGGTTCTGAGGACCTGGCGGCCCGGGCGACGGTGAACTTGTCCTCCAGCGACTCCGGCAGAGAGGAGGAAGAAGAGGGGCAGGAAGAGGAGCCCGATTCTGAGGCGACCGACGGGAAGTCGAGAGAGCCCCTCCCTCGGCGCAGGTCCCGCGCTCTTCGCCTCATGCCAGACGACGACGAGGATGGAGACAAGCGAGGCGGTGAAAGCTCTCCCCTGATCCTGAAGAAGGACAGGACGGGGCTGATTCTCCGCGGGCCTGCTCCGGCTCCGAGGTGATCTGCAGACGTGCCTCCTGCTCCTGAGTCTCCTGAGGTTGACCCCAGCAGCCGGCTCTCTGGCTTCAAGTTCGGCCAGAGGTTGCTTGATCCCGCAGGTGGTGACCAGTAAGTGCTTGATTCTCGTTTTACTTCTTGCTTTGTTGCTGAGGCTTGACGTCCATATTCTTTGGTTAGGCTGGTGCCTGCGGCGAAAAGGCTGAAGGGGGCCCCTGAGTCTCCGTCCGGGGCAGCACTTCCACCCGCGGGAGAAGGGGGCGGCAAGTCCCGGGCCTCTCCTGCCCGGTCATCCTCGCGAGGCCAGGCGGGGCGTGCTGGGGCGAGCTCAGCCCCCGTGGCCCAAGCGACTCTCGAGGCGTCTTCGCCTGATGCCACTGCTGCAGTCATCGGGGCATCGAAGGTCCCAACTCATGATGTTGTGATCACGCTGCCGTCTTCTCCGCCAACTGCCATTTCTCCGACTCCTTCTACTGTCCTGGATCGTGCTGCTGCTGAGCTGGAGCGGCTGCGAGAAGATCTTCAGGGCGCCGACCCTCGCTTGGAGGCCGGACGCCTGGAGCTGGCCTCCGGCTGGGTCCGCTCTGATGCTTCAGTTCAGGCGGTGCTGGTTCAGGCTGCGATGGCTTGCGACGAGGAGAAGCAGGCCATCCTTCAGGCCAAGGCTGCTCGTGACGCTGCCTTGGGTGAGGTTGCGGGTGTCCGGGGTTGCTGCAAGGTGCTGGAGAGTGAGCTGCAAGGCCTGCACGACTAGCTCGCCAAGGAGGCCCGTGACCGCCAGGAGAAGGAGGAAGAGATGAAGGCTCGCGAGACTGCCGCCAAGGACCGGGATGCCGAGCTTGATGAACGCCATGGCCACTTAGATACGTTGGAGCAGGCGTTGGAGTCAAAGAGGGTCAAGCTAGATGGCAAAGCACGGGTCCTCGCCGAGGACCGCATGGCCTTCGTGAAGCTGGAGGAGAAGGCTCACGCCTTGCTGAAGACACTTTATGATAGCAGCCTGGAGAGCCCGCTGGCCGACGCCGAGGACGGCCTCGCCAAGTTGCTTCCCTTCCTGGTCCGCGCCCTTGAAGATGTCGCCCTCGGCCTTGGCCCCGCGGCTGAGGCTGAGGCGCGTGTCCTTTTTTCTGCAGCACTGACGCGCGTCTTCACCCACATCTACCTTCGTGACCCCAATGTTGACCTTGACAGTCTGCTGGAGCCTGTGAGCGGCGAGCTTGCCGCTACCGCTACCGAGGCTGTGAAAGGTCGAGAGGAGGCTCTGCTGGCGAGGTTCTGTGCCTTCAGTACCAAGCCAAGGCGAGGTGCTGCCGATCCTGAGGCTTGACGAGGCGGAACCGCCCAGCGCAGCTCCGCCACCAGCGATGGTACTGCAAGAAAGTGACCCCTTCGCGGCTCTTGTCCTGTTTTTAGCTCCTGCAACATGCATCATGCCTCGTGGAGGCGTTTAAACTTGTGTTTGGCATTGTGAAGACAACCTATGGACTGTAATATTTGCTTTTTGAATTTCTTGAGATTTGCGTTTTTCCTTCCTACTTGCTTGTGTTCTACGTCGGCAGAGCCCGGCCCCGCGCATACCGCACCGCCGTTAGCCCCGACCGGAAACCAGGACGGGACCAAGGAGTGAGGGGCTACGTGACCAGTTAGGCTCCTGAGTCGCGATGCTCAGGAGTCCCCCTTGACGTGCGAATAGCAAGTAGGGAGGGGACATGTAGGAGCAGATCTACCGTTCTACGTCGGCAGGGCCCGGCCCCGCGCATAACTCAACCGCCGTTAGCTTTTCGGAACTAAGGGGTGAGGGGCTACATGACCAGTTAGGCTCCTGAGTCGCGATGCTCAGGAGTCCCCCTTGACGTTCAAACGGCCTTCGTACCTTGGCTCCGCTCGGGAAGAGACGTGCGACGAACCAGGCCCGAGGGGCCTGGCTGGGTGGCGTGCACCTGGGCATGACCCAGGCATAGCCCCCGTGCCCAGCCCCCTGGCGCGGCACTCCCGAGGGGAGGCATTACGATGGGGCCGAACACTGAGCTCTGGGCGCCCTGAGGTTGATGAGGCCGGGGGCCACCCTCAGTTGTTTATCACCAGCGCGGAGCATAGTGCTTCCGTATGTGTACGGGCATAGCCGCTCCTCGGCAGTGTCGTCAGCCAGCGCGGAGCATGGTGCTTCCATTGGTGCGTGGGAGGGGGCTCCCCTCCGGGAGGAGCCCCGGGGCATGTACAGCCCCGCCCTGACACGTGGCTGGCATGGTAGGGCCTGACGAGCTGTATCTGGGCACCTGTGAGCCAGCGCGGGACTCACGGGGCCCTACCTCAAGGCGGGTTGCGCCTGGCTCTGGGCCTTTACTTGTAATGTGCTCCTGCAAATTTGGTTAGATGCCGACGCTCTACGTCCTCAGGTCTCGGCCCTCGAGCGAGCTCAACTGTCGCTGGTATGCCAGGTCGCGATGCCGTGGACAAGTCCAGGAGGTGAGGGCCTGAGAGCCAGTAAGAGTCCATGAGTCGCGATGCTCAGGTAC